TTATTTGCCTGGGACTACTTTTAAATATGGTAAAATAAAAAAGTTTACTATAAAGGGCCGTTTGTTAATAGTGAAAATGTAAACATATCAGATCAAGACCATAAAAGACAAAAGTCTGACTTTTGTTCGGACCTTTTACTAGGCGGAAAGTTTAGCAACTGGACCTCAGTGACTTTTATCTGAATACCCCTGGTCTAGAGACCATATTTAAAGAAGGGTCATGCCGTTTGTTTATTTCGACATACCAGCTCATTTGATTTCTAACAATGTTAAAAAATATATATGTCTGTACAAATGACTTTTTTTTAACCAGGCAAGTCCCAGTGAGATCTCAGATCTCTTTTTCAAGGGCAGCCTGGGCCTGAAGGCAACCTATTCCACATGTTTTTGGGGGTGGGGGAAACCGGAGTACCCGGAGAAAACCCACGCAAGCCCGAGGAGAACATGCAAACTCCGCACAGAAAGACCCCAGGTCTGAACCGGGGATCGAACCCAGGACCTTCTTGCTGTGAGGCATTGGAGCGAACCACTGAACCCTCATGCTCATTTTTATACCGTCAGATTAAAAGATAAATAAATGTACGTCTTTCTCACGCTTCATCCGTAATTAAAAGAAAAAAAAAAACATATCCAATCGGCTCACAAAGCTGGGCAGTCCCTTAAATTTGGAAAAAAGGAGGACACATTTGCAGGCCACAATTGGAGGAGCCTTCGAATTTAGACAGCCTTCGGCGCGGTGCAGTGACGTAACGGACACAGTGCCCTCAGTCGATTACTTTAAAGCAGCCATCATCATCTGCTTAAACCTCTCCAAATCCACCTTCTTAATGATAAAAGCTTTGTGAGTCTTCTTCAGTAAACCCAAAGTGTCCACTACCATCATTCCTCTGGTGTGAGTGCCCGTCAGCTCCACGCTAACTGGGTAATGATCGCTTTCTACGATGAACGAGTCGTCCACAGCAGCCGCCATGGCGTACGAGTCACAGGAGATGAAGCCGTTGCCGGTGAAAAACTCCTTCTCGAAGCGCTCAGACTTAGATGCCTCCATGCTGTGGCGGAAGATCTGCGCCATGAAGCGAGCTTTATGGCTGTCCTGTGCCAACCAGGCGTCACAGAAGTCCTGGAGAAGCAAAAACAGAAAAGCTGCAGCATTTTCTAAACACACTCCACGTTGTGATGAGTGTCTCTAAGAATTATAAAATGCTAAAAATCTAAAAGTATATTTAAAATTTCACTAATCAGGGTGTTTTTTTTAATTAATTTTGGTAAAGTTTGGTAAACTTGGTAAAGAAAAGATATACATCACTAATTTGTCCTACAATAAAAAACTCTTTTACCCATGATTGTATGGTGCAAACGTTGAGTTCTATAAAAAGTCTAATCTGTTTTACCCAGGGCAGCTTGCTGTAGCAGGTAAACTCCCAGCAGGACAGGTAAGTAGGACACTGGTAATCATTCAGCACGATGTACGCAGCTTCTGCATCAGCAGCAAAGTTAAACTCAGCACACACTGTGGTGTTTCCTCGAGCTGTAAAACATGAGACAGACAGAAAGGGTGTGAAGATTAGATTGCTTTTTCTAAACAATTTAACACACTAATGCTCACAGTTTGTGTTTGGGGTTAATAATTGTGTTATAAGCTGAAATGTACATTTTTGTATACATCATCATTGTGATGGTGAAAGAAAACTTGAGTGCAGAACTTTAACTTTGGGCCCATCCAGAAGAATCTAAGGCTATGTTCACACTGCAGGCAAATGCGACCCAAATCCGATTTTTTTTGCCCCATCTGACCCATATTCGATTTTTTTTATGACAGTCTGAACGCGACAAATCCGATTTTTTCAAAACCGACCCAGGCCGTTTCAATATTTGGTTTTAAATCGGATACATATCTGATGTTTTCAAAGTGACTGCAGTGTGAACGCTCATGTCACATCCATCCGACTTTTTCATCAGG